TCCGGGAGAGGGTTCCGGGGACGGGATTTCGAACGATGCGGAAAAACTGAGCCCAAGGTGGCTCTGCGCACACGGACGGAGTCGCCGCCGTCGGCGCGGCCGTCGTCGTCGTCGCCGTCGATCGTCGATCGGCGGCGTCGACTGTTGTCATCGTCGTCGATCGTCGTCGTCGGTCGTCGACCGTCGTCGTCGTCGTCAATCACCGCCCTCGAGCCTCCTCCTCTCCCCCCCTCCTCCCCTCCACTCCTCCTCCCCGCCTCCTCCTCCTTTTTCTCTTCCTCTTCTTCCTCCTCTTCTCTCCCTTCGCCCTCTCCATTTCCTCCGCGCGACAGAAATCCAATAACACCTCGCGCAAATCAACGAACTGTGGCCCTCCGGGCTTTTCAGAATTTCCTTTTAGGGCCCTTTTGGGGCCGTCCTGGGGCCTTCTGGGGCGCTCTGGGAACCCGAAGTCATGTTCCCGGAGAGGCTTCCAGGAACATGATTTCGAACGGGACCCTCTTGGGCCTCCCTGAGGCCAGCTCGGGGGCCTCCTGGGCGGGTTTTGGGGCCTCTTTGGGCCGTCTTGGGGGGTTCCGTGAGCCCCACAGGACGACCCTTCTGGGGCGTCTGGGGCCCTCTTGGGTCTCTCTTGGGCTGTCTCGGGGCTGAAGGCGAGGAGGAGGAGTAGGAGGGCGAGGAGGGAGGGGAGGAGGAGGAGGAGGGGGAGGAGGAGCAGGGAGGAGGGAGGAGGGAGGAGGGAGGGAGGGAGGGAGGGAGGGAGGGAGGAGGGAGGGAGGGAGGGAGGGAGGGAGGGAGGGAGGGAGGGAGGGAGGAGGAGGAGGAGGAGGAGGGGTAGCCGAAACCCTCCGGAGAAACCCTCCACCTGGAGCCGACCTGAGCCCAGTGTGGCTCGGTGCACGCTGACAGCGTCGCCGCCGTCGCCGTGGCCGTCGTCGTCGACGTCGTCGTTTGCCGATCGGCGGCGTCAACTGTTATCATCGTCATCGATCGTCGACGTCGTCGGTCGTCGCCGTCGACGACCGTCGTCGTCATCGTCAATCACCGTCGCCGATCACCGTCGCCGATCGTCGATCGCCCTCGAGCCCTCCCCCCCACTCCTCCTCCCCTCATCCTCCTCCTCTCCGCCTCCTCCTCCTTCTCCTCTTCCTCTTCCTTCTCCTCCTCCTTCGCCCTCTCCGTCTCCTCTGCGCGGAAGAAATCCAACAACATCTCGCGCAAATCAACGAATTGTGGCCCTCCAGGCCTTTTCGAAATGTCTTCTTAGGGTTTGGGGCCGCCCTGGGGCCCTCTTGGGCGTCCTGGGAACCCGGAAATCATGTTCGCGGAGAGGCTTCCACGAACATGATTTCGGTCGGGGCTCTCTTGGGCCTCCCTGAGGCCAGCTTGGGGGCCTCCTGGGCCGGTTCTAAAACCTCTTGGGCCGTTTTCGGGATTCCGTGAGCCCCACAAGACGATCCTTTTGGGCCGTCTTGTGCCCTCTTGGGTCTCTCTTGGGCTGTCTTGGGGCTCTTCGGGGGCGTTTGGAGCACTGTGAAGACGAAGCAAGCGGGCGTGCTGAAAACGTACGTTTTACGAGGGATATGGGCCGATTGTTGCCTCTTGAAGGCCCTCTTGGGGCCCTCGTCGGCCATCTTCAAGCCATCTCGGGCCCTCTTGGGCCTCGCTGAGGCTGTCTTGTGTGCCTCTTGGGCGTCCTGGGAACCCGGAATTCTTGTTCCCGGAGAGGCTTCCGGGAACACGATTTCGAACGAGGCCCTCTTGGCCTCCCTGAGGCCGTCTTGGAGGCTTTCTGGGCCGGCTTCGGGGCTTCTTGGGCCGTCTTGCGGGGTTCCGTGAGCCCCGCAGGACGACCCTTCTGGGACGTCTGGGGCCTCTTGAGTCTCTCTTGGGCTGTCTTGGGGCTCCTCGGGGGCGTCTGGGGCACTGTGAAGACGAAGCAAGCGAGCATGCTGGAAAAATACATTTTACGAGGGTATTGGGCCGATTGTTCCCCCTTGAAGGCCATCTTGGGGCCCTCTTCGGCCATCTTCAAGCCATCTCGGGCCCTCTTGGGCCTCGCTGAGGCTGTCTTGTGGGCCTCGAACCTGAAAATCATGTTCCCGGGTTCCCGGAGAGGCTTACGGGAACATGATTTCGAACGAGGCCCTCTTGGCCTCCCTGAGACCGTCTTGGGGGCCTCCTGGGCTGGCTTCGGGGCCTCTTGGGCCGTCTTGGGGGCTCCGTGAGCCCCACAAGACGACCCTTTTGGGCCGTCTTGTGCCCTCTTGGGTCTCTCTTGGGCTGTCTTGGGGCTCTTCGGGGGCGTTTGGGGCACTGTGAAGACCAAGCAAGCGAGTGTGCTGAAAATGTACGTTTTACGAGGGATATGGGCCGATTGTTGCCTCTTGAAGGCCCTCTTGGGGCCCTCGTCGGCCATCTTCAAGCCATCTCGGACCCTCTTGGGGCGCTCTTGGGCGTCTTCGGGGCCTCTTGAGGCTTTCTTGACCATCTGCACGGCCCACGTGGCCTGTCGGGGGCACTTTGGAAGCGGCCCGAAGCAGTCCCAGGGGGTCTGTGACCCCCAAAGGTCCTGGGGGGCGTCCATGGGGGAGGGTGGCACCGGCCCGGCCCACTCCACGGCCTACTCAGATCTACATATATATATATATATATATACATATACATATGCATATACATTTACATATACATATACATATACATATGCATATACATATACATATACATATACATACATATACATACATACATACATACATACATACATACATACATACATACATACCTATCTACCTACCTACCTACCTACCTACCTACATACATACATACATACACACATACATACACACATACATACATCTATACATACGTACATACATGCATACATACATACATACACACACATACATACATACATACATACATACATACATACATACATACATACATACATACATACATACGTACATACATACATACATACATACATACATACATACATACATGCATACATACATACATACATACATATATGTATGCGTATGGTAATGCATATGTATATGTATGTGTACATGTAGATGTATACGTATGAGTACGGTAGATGTATATGCACATGTGAATGTACACATATCTGTACCGATATGCAGTTGTGTAAATATTGAGATCTCTCTCTCTCGTTCACACAGACAAGCGAAGCTGGCGCCAGCAGCTTGGCTCCCTCAGCCTTGCAGGATGGGCGCTGGAGTTCCAGACTCGGTCACGCTGCAGCTCCGGCTCCCAGGGGCCTGCGGCTCGATTCTCGAGCCGCCAAGCAACCGGGCGTCCACTGGCGGAGGCACCGCCGACTGGAACAGATCAGAGCGACCCCTGTCCAGAGCCATGGGGGAGAGGGGACAGGAGGGGGAGGATAAAGGGGCCCTGGGACACACAAATAAAGACACACAAAGAAAACGATCCCCCATATTCTCCCATATGTTCTGGTTTCTGTCTTCCCCCCCACTTCCCATATGTTCCCATTTTTTCCTGGAAATCGACGATTAATTGTGTCTGTGTCTGTGTGTTTTTTTCCTCTCCTGAGAGGAGTAGGAGCAGCAGCAGCGCAGGAGACAAAGCCTCCCGCGGCGACGGCACAAGCAAAAAAGCCGGCCGAGCCGACAACGGAACCGACACCGACCAGAGCTGACAGGTCGCAGGCAGCCCAGAAGGGCGCAGCGACGCAGCAGCGACACGACCACCGACCGAATGTACTCCAGACTTCGTAATAAAAGGGAGGGGGTCTGGACCCTCCAAGACAAGCCATTCCAGACCCCCCCCGTGGGAGAACCCTCCAAAACATCGTCCCCAGACCCCCCCAGGCCCTCCAAGATAGCCTGGAAGAGACCCCCCCGAAATGAGACCCCCCTCCCTTTATTACGAAATCTGGAGTAACCGACTGCGACCCAGCCGAAACGACCGAGCTGCGGACACCCTTGAGTGAGAGCGCAGAGGAGCGCAGAGGACGCAGTCAAGCTGCTACCATCCACAAGGCAAGGCACGTAAGAAATGATGACCCTCTTGAGCCCCCAAAGAGCCTGGTGCGTGTACGAGGAACGCTGGAAGAGGCCTCCTTGATGGGGTCCAAGTAGATCGGGTCGGAGGATCGCGCCGCATCGTCGATGCATCGGCAATTCGGTTCGGTGTGAAGCCCGACTTTCTCCCCGCCGACGTCGCCGTTGCATCACAAACGTCGCAGGTGCATCGACGCTGCATAGGCGATGTATGGGAGACGCGGCGCGATCCTCCGGCCCCATCTACTTGGACCCCGTCTGGGAGGCCTAGTGCTAGAGGAACAACCGTGGAATGGCCCGAGAAACAGCGAGCCCCTTCCGAACCGAAACCGTTCCTTACTTCAGCGCCTTGACCGTAGTACCCGCGGCGCGCTCGCTCGGCGGCAAATCTGGCAGCGTGGCGCGGCCCGTCGGCCGGAGCAGGCCGTCCCTCCGCAGCACGCGGGGGGCGGGGGGCACACGCCTCTCTCCGTCGTATCTCCTCCTCCTCCTCCTCCTCCTCCTCCTCCTCCTCCTGCCTGCACTGCGCTATAGACTTGCACGCGCCCCTCGCCCTGGCAGCGCGAAGGCGGCCGGGGGGGGGGCCATCGAAGGTCTTTCTTTCCCTCGGTCTGGGTCAGAGGCTGCGGTCCGTAGGCCAGAACGGGGGGGTTAAGGGGGGGGGGGGAAGCAAAAGTGCCTCCCGTACCGTTTCGGCAGGGGCTGAGCCGCGCCACCGGCAGCTGCACGCCCACCGACTGCATCGCCGACACCGCTCCCCCCCCCGCCCCCATCGGCGGTGGACAGACCTCCCTTTCGTAGACCTCCCCTTAGTGAGAACGGCCAGGGACCGAAAGGCCCAGGCCCGCAAAAACGACGGCCGCGACGCCCTCTCGCGACCCGAAAACGGCCGATCCCTCAATCGACGCGTCAGGGTATTCGGAGGTCTATCCACCCCCGACCCCAGCGGAACGCCTGCGCCGCAGGTCCGCCAGCCGCTCGATGCTCCGGACCAGCGGCCAGTAGCGGGCAGGCGCCTGCCAGTCTGCTCCCCCTTCTGCTGCGGCTGCCGCCGCCGCTGCCCCGCTCCGTGCCCTCCGCCCCCTCCGCCGCCCCGCCTCGCCCCGCCTCTCCCCCTGGAGGTGAGCGACACGAGTCCTGCGGAAGGGCGCCCAGGATCCGAAGGCTGCTCCGGAGGAGCTGGTCCCGGGGAGAGGAAAAGCGTGCCCGCGCGCTTCCTGATTGCCACCGTCGAGCCTGTCCGCCTGGCACGCGCGTGCTCGGAGGCCTCGGAGAGAACTCGGGAGCGGCCAAGAGGGGGGTGTCCAAGAGAGGGGTGCAAATCAGGACCGGCGGCACGTGCGCGGCCCAGCGGGGGGGCTAGGGACGTAATGAAATATAAGACGAGGCGCCATGAAATCCGGGAAATATCACGGCCCCCGCCATCATACCCCCCCCCTAGTCATCACCCCCCCCTGTGCCGCCCCCGAAGAAAGCTGGTCCTGGGGAAGGCCCTCGGGTGTGCAGGACTCTCGTCCATGGGGTCACCTCCTCGGCTTCCAGGGGGGGCCTCCCGGGCCTCCTCGGCTCCCCAAAGGGGGGACCTCCTCGGCCTCCTCAGCCCCCGCGCCCGTGGGGGGTGCAGGACCCGTGCCACTCAGACCCCCTTCCCGTCATGGCGATCCTCTTCTGCCGCCGGATCCTGCCGCTGCTGCTGCGCCCTGGCCTCCGCCTCCGCCTCCGCCTTCGCCCCCTGGTCCTTCCCCTCCTCCTTCTCCTCTCCTCCCCCCCTCCTCCTCCTCCTCCTCCTGCTCCCTCTACAATTACACAATAGGAGTACTACTCTCCTCTCTCCCCTGGTGACGCCCGGGAAATATTCGGTCCACCTCCGCGTATCCGTTTTGCTCTCGCTGAAGCGCTCACCTCATTTTCGAGCTACCGCTCGTTGCGGATCGTGCTCCCGCTGCAGCGCTCGCCTCATCTCCGCGCTTCCGCTCGTTCCGAATCGTGCTCCCGCTGCAGCGCTGGAGTCATCAAGTCCAGCGTCATGCCACGGCATGGTTTTCGGTCCTTCCAAATGGGCTCCAAAGTCTAGAAAATGCCTCCCCGAAAAAACAGCCAGAAGTGATTAAACATTCGGTGCCGATTCGTTGATTGTTGGGGTCGCAGAACCCCCCCTTTTAGGGCGTCGCCACGCCATGCTATGTCAGGCTACGCGTCCTCCGAATCGTGTTCCCGCTGCAGCGCTGGCCTCAGTCCCGCGTTTCCGCTCGTTCCGAATCGTGCTCCCGCTGCAGCGCTGACGTCATTATTTCCAGCGCCATGCCAAGGCATGGTGTTCGGTCCTTCCAAATTCCAAAATCTAGAAAATGCCTCCCCGAAAAAACGTCAAAGGACTTACACATTCGGTGCCGATTCGTTGATTGTTGGGGTCGCAGAAGCCCCCCCCCCACCCCCCACTTTAAGGCGTCGCCACGCCATGCTATGTCAGGCTACGCTTCCTCCGAATCGTGCTCCCGCTGCTGCGCTGGCCTCATTTCCGCGCGTCCGATCGTTCCGAATCGTGCTCCCGCTGCAGCGTTGGCGTCATTGTTTCCAGCGCCATGCCACGGCATTGTTTTCGGTCCTTACAAATCGGCTCCAAAATCTAGACAATGGCCACCCGAAACAACCATCAGAAGTGATTACACATTCGGTGTCGATTCGTTGATTGTTGGGGTCACCGAACCGTCCCCCACTTGGGCCAACTCGGGGCGTCACCACGCCATGCTATGTCAGGCTACGCGCTGATCTTCAACACCGTGCTACGTCGTGTAATGCTGTGCCATGCTACGACATCCGACTGTGCGAATAGAGAAGAGACCTACGCCATGGCAAGGAATACGACCACCCCCTCCTCACCCTGCTCATCCTCCTCCTCCTCGTCGTCGCCGTCGTCCTCGGAATCCGCCTCCCCGGTTCACTCACCGTAATTTAAGTCGCACCTCTCATCGTCCTGATCATCGCGGCCGTGCCTCCCACATTCATTCTCCGATTGGCCGGCGTGGCATCCTTAAGTTGCTCCTTCTTCTGCACTTGTTATTTCCAAAGGCTGTGATGGCGTCTGGCGCCGCTCTTGGCAACGGTCTTCTTCATGACGTGGCACATGCCTGCGCCTGGTCCTCCTCGTCCTCTCCTCCTGCTGCGCCTCTTCCTGCACCTCTGCCTTTTCCTAGGAGGAGGAGGCGGAGGAGGAGGAGGAGGAGGAGGAGGGGGGGGATTGTTTGCCCGCTACAGGCCGTTTCACCTCTTCTGTGAAAGAGAAAATAGCTGGCGGTTCGGAGGGGTAAGCCGCCAGCCCCTGGCTGGTTCAAGAAGCACCGACAAGGGCCCTCGCTCTACCGTGATACTGTCATCCTTGGGATGGAGACCTCGGCAGAGTCTCTGCCAGCAATACCGAGCACCAGCACTACTAGGATGGTCTGCACACTGGCGAACCAAGTTCATGGCACGCCGCCCGCTGGTAGCCTTGCATCGCAGGCAGACGATGAGACGCTGGGCAGCGACGGCTGTACACGCCCCTGCCCCTGGACCTCACGCCAGGGCAACGGTCGGAGGAAGGTCCTCCCGTGCCCAGACACACAGAGAAAGAGAAAGGGGCGGCCCCCTTGAGCAACCGTAACCGCAGGGGAGACTCAACCCCACGGCCGTGCACCAGGAGGACGAGGACAGCACGAGGCAGTGAAAAAGACGGCCAGCGGCACCTGCTCGCCGAAACTCCAAAGCCCGAGCCCCAGGGCTGGCAGCGTAACCAGCAACGCCGAGCAAAGTGCAGCTAAACCCCAGATCGAGCCTGCCGCGTGAGCCCATCTCACACCAAGCCGAAGGCGAATTACCAGCAACACGGAGGGCGACGGTCGGGGAGGACGAGTCTCCCCCGTGCCCAGACGCTTACACCACGGTACTGGAGGCGGCCCCCTGGGCAACGGTCACCGCAAGGGAATTCTCACCCCACGGCCGTGCGACAGGGGGCGAGGGCGGCACGAGGCAGTGAAAAGGACGGCCAGCGGCGCCCGCCCAACGGAATCCCAAGGCCCGAATTCCAGGGCTGGCTGCGCAACCAGCACCGCCGAGCAGGGCACAGCAGAACCCCAGATCGAACCCGCCACGTGAGCCATCTCACGCCAAGGTCGGGCCGAAGTCTCAGCATGACAGGGCCACAGTCAGGGAAGAACCTCCCCCGTGCCCAGCGCGCAACGGGAGTACTAGCTCGACCCCATGAGCAACGGTCACCGCAGGGAAGACGTCACCCCACGGCCGTGCACCAAGGGCGAGGACAGCACGAGGCAGCGAAAAGGACGGCCAGCGGCGCCCGCCCGACGGAATTCCAATGTCCGAATTCCAGGGCTGGCAGCGTAACCAGCACCGCCGAGCAGGACACAGCAAAAAACCCAGATCGAACCCGCCACGTGAGTCCTCTCACGCCAAGGTGGTCGAGGTCACAGCACGACAAGGCCACTGTCGGGGAAAAGTCACCCCCGTGCCAAGCGCGCAACTAAAACTAGTTCGACCCCGGAGCAGCGGTCACTGTAGGGGAGATCACCCCACAGCCGTGCGACAGGAGCGAGGCAGCACATGGCAGTGAAAAGGACGGCTGGCGGCGCCAGCTCGACGGAACTCCAGGGCCCGAGTTCAGGAGGGGGAGAGTTAAAGAAGCTCCGACCAGGGCCCTCGCTCTACCGTGATACTGTCATCCTTGGGATGGAGACCTCGGCATATTCTTAGCCAGCAATACCGAGCACCAGCACTACTAGGATGGTCTGCACACTGGCGAGCCAAGTTCATGGCACGCTGCCCGCTGATGGCCTTGCATCGCAAGCAGACGATGAGACGATTACCGTCGGAGCACTCGAGCGCGATGCAATGGTGGCCTTTTGCCGCGAGCATTGCAAGGTCCAGCTTGCTTCGACGAGAACAGAGCCCAGGTTGCGGGGGCCAAAACTTCCCACCAATACCTAGGTACTGAGGGAGGGGGGCCGGAATCCCACGGAGAAACTGTAAGACAGGCCTTGCATTTCAAGAAAGCTCCTATCTGCTGCCACTCGTGTGGTGCGGCCGCAGCTATCCCTTGGCCAGCACCACTCCCACGACAAACGACCACACGAACGACACCGGGACCCATCTCGAGAGGCGGCCATAGCGGGAGGAGCTTTGCAGCCAGCAAGCTCACAGCACGCGCGACCGCGTACTGCATATCTACTGACTCCAACTCCTCACGACTGGGCTGAGGGTTCGACGCTGCCGCCACCTTAGTAGCAGCATCTACATAAAGATTTCCTACGCGGAGGAAGCGGTCCATATCGTCGGCCGCTTCATCAATAGTCTGATGGGCCTTCTCTTTGCTGGTAGTGATGGCTGGTAAATTCTCGCGCACGAACTGAGCACACCCTGAGTACAGACGTTTGTGGAGGAGGAGGAGGCGGGGGAGGAGGAGGAGGAGGAGGAGGAGAAGGAGGAGGAGGAGGAGGAGGGTCGTCCTCTGTTTCACCCTGCTCCTGCCTCGGGTACAACTCGCGGGTTACAACCCCCCGACGCACCCACTCACGGCAGGCGGCAGGAGCGGGTGCGCCGAAGAGAAGGCGCGCCCCCGGTCCCAGCCCGCAGCGGCAGACCCACACCTGGCGTGCTGTCAACCGTGTCCACGGCATCTGTCGTCGCAAAGCTCCTGCCCGTCCACTCCAGAGGGTGACAGCGGTGCCATTGCGGCTGTCTGCGCGAGAGGGCAACAGTGAGATGCATGCAGACCGCCGCGCGATGAAGGCTGCCAAAACATGGGCGTGAGCCCCAGCCTGCCAGCTTCGAAAGGTCGTGGGCGCCATCCGGCATCCTGCACGCACGGAAGGCGAACACCGAGCTGCTCGCAGCCCGCCATGCGTCCCGCGGGCGCCCGAAACAGGCGCCGAGAGTAGACGGGCTCCGCAAGGAAGGGGGGCGGTGGCCGCAACAAGCTCCGCGGGTTATTCAAGCCCTGCCGCACGTCATGAAGCTCCTCGCTCGTTCTTGTCCTCTCCCGTGCCGTCGTCGTCGTCGTTGTCCTCCTCCTCCTCCTCCTCCTCCTCCTCCTCCTCCACCTTCTCCTCCTTCTCGAGTGGCGGGACAGGTCGGTCACCGAGGTCGCCACCCTCCTTCTGAAATGCGGCGACAAGGTAGAGCGTCCTCCTCCTCATCCTCCTCCTCATCATCATCAGCACCATCCTCATCTGCATTTGCATCAGCATCAGCATCATCAGCATCCTCAGCATCAGCATCATCATAATCACGGTCAGCATCAGCATCAGCATCATCATCAGCAGCATCCTCGTCGTCAGCATCATCATCAAGTCGTCATCATCACCATCAGCATCATCATCATCAGCAGCATCGTCAGCATCAGCATCATCGTCGAAAGCGTCAGCATCATTATCAGCAGCACCCTCACCAACAGCAGCAGCATCATCAGCATCATCAGCATCTGTCACGTCATCATCATCAGCAGCAGCAGCATCAGCATCAGCATCAGCATCATCATCATTCATCATCATCATCATCATCATCATCATCATCATCATCATCATCATCATCATCATCATCATCATCATCATCCGCATCAGCAGCAGCATCATCATTATCATCACCATCATCAGCATCATCAGCATCATTGTCATCATCAGCAGCATCAGCATCATCTGCAGCACCACCACCGTCACCACCACCACCACCACAATCATCATCATCATCAGCAGCAGCAGCATCAGCATCAGCATCATCATCAGCATCGCCAGCATCTTCGTCGTCGTCATCATCCACATCATCATCGTCAGCATCATCGGCATTGGAATCGTCATCATCCTCGTCGTCATCATCATCATCGTCATCAGCATCATAAGCATCAGCATCATCATCATCATCATCATCATCATCATCATCATCATCGTAATAATCATCATCAGCCATATCATCATCACCATCATGCTCAGAATCACCATCATTATCATCATCATCAGCAGCAGCAGCAGAAGCATCATCACCAGCAGCATGATCATCAGCATTAGCATCAGCAGCAGCATCAGCAGCAGCATCAGCATCATCAGCATCATCATCATCATCATCATCATCATCATCATCATCATCATCATCAGCAGCAGCATCAGCATCAGCATCAGCATCAGCATCAGCATCATCATCATCATCATCATCATCATCATCAGCATCAGCATCAGCATCAGCATCAGCATCAGCATCATCATCATCATCATCATCATCATCATCATCATCATCATCATCGTCAGCATCATCAGCAGCATCAGTATCATCATCAACATCCGCATCGCCATGCATCAACATCATCATCGTCATCAGCATCATCAGCATCAACAGCATCATCAGCATCATCATCATCAGCATCAACATGATCATCATCATCAACATCAACATTATCATAATCATAATCCGTTTCTTGACCTCGACCCCCCCCCCATCGTCGTCCTTCGTCCTCCTCGCAGCCCGCAGGAGCCATGAAAACGATAAGATGAAGGAGAAACTCAAAAGACCTTGAGCACTCTCGCGAGCATGGCAATGTCAGTGGCGAAGTACATCGGTAGGTTCGCCATCCCGAATGTTGTGATGATCGGGACCTTGAGCATTCTCGAAGGCATTGCACCGTCAGTGGCGAAGTACATCGGTAAGTTCGTCATCCCAGACGTTGTGATGATCAAGGCCCGCCAGAAGAAGGCGACCAAGGCCAGGAATCGTGGGATCTTCGACAAGGTCGTCCTTGTGAAGGCGAACGCTCTCAAGAAGTACACCCACTAGCTGGGCCGAGAGGCTCGGCCCGTCGGTTGCGGCTGCGTCGGGCACTGGCCATGCCTCGCTGCCACTGCTGGGCGTCTCGGTTTTCTGGCTCGTCCCTCGTCGCGTCGCCGCGGCTGGTCTCGCCTCGGGCCTTCGGGCCGTTTCGGTGCTCCTGGCGCGGGTCGCCTCTGCACCTTCCCCGTCGCCTCGTCGGAGTGCGGTTCGAAAATGCGGCGCGGCGTGGGTCCGGGCCGCGGGCCTGCGCGCCAGGGCCTGGAGGACGCAGGCCGCCTCATCAAATCCCTCAGATCCCTCCTCCTCCTCCTCCTCGTTGTCGTCTTTTCTCCGCTTTTCCACCTCGACCTTCCCCTCATCGTCGTCGTCGCCCTCCTCATCCTCCACATGCTCCGCCTCCTCCCTCCGCGTCCTCGCTCTGCTCCCTTTCCTCATTCAGGTGCCAACGCCGCGCGAGCTCCAGCGAGGGGGGCCATGGGACGGCTGGCGGTGGCCTCTGGCAAGGCGACGTGCCCCTGGGGGGGGGGGGCGGGCTGGGAAGAGCGGTCAAGGCGCGGGACTCGAGACGGACCGAGCCGTCTGATCCGAGCGGGGGTGGAAGGGTGAGGGGGGCGGAATGGCCTGTCACAGCTGCAGGGGGTCCACCCCGTGCAGCCTGAGAATCGGAGGAGGCGCAAACTATGTGATCGACCATGGACCCTCGGGCCGGGCGAAAGGGGGGGATAGCAAAGAGGGGGTTTGAGAATCAGCTCGCGTAGCTGATTTTCCTGGCGCCTCCCGGCGCCGGAGGCGCCTATGTATCGAGGAATGGGCCCCTCGGTGGGGCCGAAACCAGCTGTATGCAGCAAATTCCGTAACCCCCCCCCTTTCCCAAACCCCCCCTTTCGTCCGGCCCGAGACCCCTTTTGGGCCATCGCCCCAGGGCCGTCTTCGGGTGGTCCTCGGGCGGCCTTCGGCAATCGTCGGCGGACTTCTATGACAGTCGTTTGTGACGGTCTGCGGCGGTCTGCGGCGGTCGTCGGCGGCTTCGGCGATAACAACGACAACGAGAACAATGATAATAACGATAACGTTGGTATCGCTGTTGTCACTGGTATCGCTGTTGTCGTTGTCGTCGTTGTGGTTGCTGCCTGTATCGTTGTTCTTGTTGTTGGTGTTGGTATCGTGGCTATCGTTGTTATCGTTGTGATCGTTGTCATCGCGGTCTTCGGTTCGAAAGCTGGATGGTTGCGTTGAACGTGGGGTCCACCGTGAACACCTACAGTCAAAAACCCTAATAAGGCCGCGCGGCAAGGACGCAAGACCCTTGGAAGCCGAAGTTGGGACTTTTGGGGCGGCGGACGAAGAGGCGGCAAGGACGAGCCGCAAGGGCAAGGAAGAGCAAGGACGCAAGGGTACCCTGAGCAAAGTCGCGCGTCCTCCTCCTCCTCCTCCTCCTCCTCCTCCTCCTCCTCCTCCTCCTCCTCCTCCTCCTCCCCTCCTCCTCCGCCTCCGCCTCCGCCTCCGCCTCCGCCTCCGCCTCCTCCTCCTCCTCCTCCTCCTCCTTCTCCTCTTCCCTCCTCCTCCTCCTCCTGACTCCCCGTCTCCCAAAAAGGACGATCTCCAGAGGAGGAAGCAGAGGAGACATGCCAGTCCACCTGTTTGCGCAACACTGCGTGACGCCGAAGCTGGGGCAACGCCCAGGTGACTCGGGCAGGCCCCGCGATGGCCCAGGAGGCCACCAGGACGGGCCAAGGTGCGCCCAAGGGGGGCCACGAGGCCCACTATGCGGCACGCGAATCTCCCGAGAGGCCCCCAAGGCAGCGTGAAGGGCCTCCAAGACGCCTACGAGACGGCCCAATTGGCTCTGACGGCCCACGAAACCCTAAAACACCCAAAGAGGCCCCCGGGAAGTGTCCAAGCGGCGCCCCCAGCAGAAACCCACGGAAGTCTAGGAAGCCAACGGACGGCCCGGTGCGCCAAACAGAGGCCCGCAAGACGGCCTTCAGACGGCCTCATAGGCTTCTGATGCGCCAGGAGCAGCCCAGAAAGCCAACCAGAAGACTCGCACGCGCCCCAGAAGCACCCAAGAAAAGCACACATCCACGGGAGGCGTCAAAGACTGGAAAAGGTGGAGGAGACGACCGAAGAGGACTCCGAGCGCCTGGCGAGGGAGCCTCTCTCCAACTGCGATACGCTGCTTTCGCTCTGGCGCGAGGCGCGACTCTTCTTCCCGCTCGCCCCGATCATCGCTCTCATCGCCCCCATAGCTCGATTTGCCAAGTCTCGATCACACCAGACGATATCATCTTACACACAGCCGTACCATGTTATACTGAATCGCACCGTGCCGGCCGGGACCACAAATAACAACCGCACCAGGCATAGACGGAGCCAAAACAAACAAATAACCAAACAGACCAGACCGAAGGTCAGCGAGCCATGCATACGTCCGCAAGTCTGCCATCAGCAGGCTATGGAAACTTCAGTGGCATATCGAAACTCCAATGGGAAAAAGGAAGTAGACGCATTGTACGAACCAGACAGAGATGAGGTGGAGGGAGTGCAGAACTGGAAGAACTATCAAAATAGGAATCGATGGAGGAGGTACAACAGTGGGCTGGGACCGTTTAAGGGTACAACCGAGAACCAAGAATGGCGAGGAGAAGAAAAAACCGCTTTGCCCGCCGAACCTGAGCACACTGCCAAAGTTGCCAAAGGAAACCAGATCACGCACGAAAGAAACTAGCAAAACCAATATGGAAAGCATGGCAATAGCTACGCTACGCCCGACCATGTCGGATTCGCCTGCACCGGCCAAGAGATCACCGAAGACACCACCAGGGCGATGGAGCGCGAGGCCCGGCCACGGGATAATTATGCCCCTCCTGGGCGCACGGCTCGACGCTCGAGAGCACGACCACGCACGTGATCAGTGCAGCCCTGAACCTGGTCTTCAGCGACGCAGCACCTCACCAAGGTGCTTCGGGGGTGGACGGACCCCCCTTTAGTAAAACGTGGTTCAGTGAGCACGACCTGAGGCCCAAACCTGGCGGGCGCAAGCCTGGGAAATGACGGCCACGGCACACTCTCGAGAACCGAAAACGGACAATTCACTAATCGACGTGTCACTGTTGGGGGTTCTGTCCACCTCCGAGTGATATACTCACGCGATGGGGCAAACCGCACCCCACGGGCCCCCTCATTCTGCCGGAGCTGCTGCGCACCGTGGCACGGCAGGGGGGCAGGAGGGAGGGGGGCGAGGGGGAGGCAGGGAGCGCAGGGAAGGGGAGGGGAGGGAGGAGCGGGCGACGGCGGAGGGGAAGGGCGTTTCGCTCAGGGCTCGGCATTGTGGCCTGGGGGATTTGCGGCCCCCACTGTTTTCCCAGGCGTCCGCCCGCCTGGCACATTTCCTCAAGACGTCCTGCTTAAGGAACGCTCGCTTTCACAGTTGTACTTCAGCCTTGCGATCGGGCCTGCCCATTACTTCTCGCTTGCGCCGAGGATCAAGTCCCAAGGTGCTGAGGAGCCATGGGTCACAAAAGGCAGTCGTCGGGGGCCGAAGGGCATGGTGTGCCCCAGTTGTGGACGCAAGAAGAACAGTGCCAACGCCGAGTATTGTAAGCACTGTGCCAGTGCTCGTCCGGCGCTTTCTCCTGTTTCTGGTCGCGTTGTCATTGGGCGCTGGGCTCTCGCTGGTCCTCCAGGCTGCTGGTACGGGAACGGCTTCAGCTCCAAGGGCTCGGGCGACAAGGGCTCTTTCGGAGGTACAGGCAAGGGAGGTGTTCACGGCAATGGTACAAGCAAAGGTAAAGGTTATTTCGGAGGCGACCCCTCCACGTGGGATGCACTGGCTCGTCAAGATGATGCACAGCATGGAGATGCAGCTGGAGGAGGTGCCCCGCCACTTCCTGTGGGACCAGCACCGTCCATCTCCGCCGCAGAGGCCAAGTCTCTGGGCGAGTCGCTCTAAAAAGCGAGGGATCACGGAGCGGCCACCAAGTACCTGGGCATGGCGGGTCATCTGGAGACGGCCGCCAAGCCTGCTGTCATTTCGGATCATACCCGCACGCAGCAGGCCCATTCCAATGTTCGCCAGCTCGAGAAGCAGATGCAACAGACTCTCAGTAAGGTGGTGCGTTTGCGTGAACAGCTTGTCGATGCGGAAGCCACGCTGCGCACGGTGCGAGACCAAGTCAACCTGGCGGGTGCTGGCTACAAGGCCTCGCTCGCTGCGTTGCAGGGCTCACACAAATCTGAGGAGGAGCCTCAGGCCACGGTGGGTTCGTTCAAGCTTGAGGACCTGGTTGCGGACACTGTCGATCTCTCAAAGTTCATTGACTGCAGTCACATCCTGGAGGATCTCTCGATTGAGGCTGAGGTTGAGGCGTGTGACTTGGAGCAGTTCCAGAAGCGCAAGGAGGAGCTGTCTTCAGGAGTCACGAAGCTGGCGAGGGATCTGTTTGCGCAGGTTGCGGACCATGCCAAGAAACTTCGAGACGAGCACGAAGCTCATCGCACGCTGCTCGCTGCCAAGAAGCGTCGCAGATGGAGCAGCTGCTGCAGGTGGGGGAGCTGGCGCAGGAGAGGTTGTTGGCGTGGCTCCTGCTGAACCTGGGGCGGCTTCTGAAGGTGCCTCTGCCACTGCGCAGCCTGCCGCGGCAGCCGATGATGCTGCCCCCTCTGAGGACATTCGAGCCAGGGTTGACCAGACTCTCAAGGAATCCTCGCCCCCTGCCACAGGCGCGCGGCAGGGGGAGTGAATCTGAGAGCGGGGGCCCAGGCTTGAAACCCTCCTGGCATCTTCTTAATTTTCCAGTCTCGAGGGTGTCTGCGATTGGCTCCAAGTCCCAGGCCTCAGGGATTCGGATATTTAGGCGCCTCATGGGCGCCTTCGGCCATGAGGCTGTCGGAGCCTCTTTTGATGCCCCTGTTTTGCCTCCTGTAATCCGGGCGCCCCCAGAAAGCCAAGGAGCCGCTCGCATCTCCCCCCTGCCTCTGCCTGGCGCGGTCGGGAAACCGCACGTTGCGAAGACTGGTGGGACCCCGTTGGTGGAGCAACCAGTGGCACGCTTGCCGCAATCCGATGCCTCGTTTTCTGGCGCGAGCTCGGTAAGGGCCTGGTCCTGTATGCGTTCTGTCTCAGACGGTCTGCCAGCGACCTCAGCTCGAACCCCAGCTGCCCACGGTGCGTCACTGACTGCGCGATCAGGCTTGGCTAGGGGCTCCTGGCCACCACTGTCAACATCAACACTTGGGGCACACTCAAAGATCAGCCCTCCACCTCGAAGGCCCACGTGGTGATCGCTCAGGAGCATCGGCTGGTGCATACGGGGGCTCTTGACCAAGCCTCGAAGTCTTCCAAGTTCCTGGGCTGGAAGACGTTGCGGGCTCCTGGGGTACCCAGGGAAGGTGGAAGTGTCTCTTCGGGCGCATGCGCGCGTGTTCGCGATGGCCTTGGCCTTTTTGAAGCCGGGGGTCGCACCACCTCCTTCGCCGGCAGAGCCGTGGCAACCGTGGTGCACGTGCCAGGGTGCGCCCCGACGTGCACCTGCAGCCCCTACCTCGTCCACAGCGAAGGTCTCTCGGACTCCAAGCTCGAGATGGCGCGTGTCGTGGGAGAGTGTGTGGATATTATGTAGGCTGCGAGTTCACTGCGGGAGCCGACTGCAACATGGGCCCCGAGGTCCCGGCGTCCTCGAGCATTGTCAGTCGCATCAGGGCCTCCTTGCTTGTGCCTGAAGGGCACACGCACTTTCCGAGCAGGGGGGCCCCTGATCACTGTGATCATCTTGTGGTTTCGGAGGCCCTGAGCCTCTGCTTGTGTTGTGGTTTCTGAACCCTGAGCCTCTGCTTGAATCAAGTCGGAGTTGAATATGACACTAGCATAGCCCCTCGCCGTCCTGTGTTGCTCCGCTTTCATAGCTCCCTCGGAGATCTCAAGGCCCTTGCCTTCCGCCAGCCCCCTTCGGTGCCTGCGTTGGCGCCTGTTGGGCCTGTCCCTCGGCCTGGCTTCTGGGATGCCGCGCTGAACTTGGCCGAAGAAGCTTTGGGGAGGTGGAAGCTGGCGATGGGATTAAAGCCCGTAGACTGCTCAATCCTGGCTACAAGGTTTGGGCTGACTCTGCGGAGAGGGACCTGGTGCTTGCCCTGGGGTCCGACCTCAAAATCCTAGGGATGAGGAGCAAGCGGCCTCAAGTTCACTGGAATTCTGCGTTGAAACCTGATGGCAGAGAGAAGCAGCCAGACTTGCGTGCTGTTCGGCGATTGTGCAACCAGTTGCGAGCAGTTAGGTGCTACCTCTCTGAATCGACCTTGCAGGAGGCTGGACGTCAGGTGCCTAACTCGATCATCCAGCCCCCAGAGGCGATGGCGATGAAAGAAGGCACGGACTTCTTCCCTTTCTTCAGAGCTGGCGGGGCCTTAGCTAGATGCGCCCTGCTGCCTGATTTTGATTGATCCTGAGCTTCTTTCGGATCTGGGCGACCTGATCGCTCCGGTTGCGCTCGCCGCCTCCACTGCCAAGGCCACCTCCTCGACAGAGTCGCGGAAAAAGTGGCACGAGTGGGTGAGAAAGGAAATCGATGCTGGAGGTCGCAACGCGCAAAAAGCTATCAGGGATCCCGAGCCTTGGAAGCCGACCACCACTTTGTCTCGATGTGGGACCATTGTTTGCGGCCCAGTCTCGTTGCTCCAGGCGGAAGGCGACAAATTCGCCGCCATATGGGGCCCGGGCTCAGGGGAAGGAGTTGGACACGACCTTCTCCCGCATGCTCGCGTGTTGGAGCCTGCTGAGATTCAAGCTGTTTCTCAGAAGTATCGTCCTGCCTCTGCGGTCAGCATCGACGGTTTCCATTGCCGTCACTTCTCTTTGCTCCCAATGAGGCCTTGCGTGCTCTTGCGTTGTGGTTTGCTGTGTGAGGGGGGGCCACTGGGGCCCTCCCCCGCCAGCTGTCTTGGGTCCTCATGGCCCTTCTGGCCAAGCCGACTGGGGGGGTCCGACCCATTGGTGCGTTCCCCTGCCTCTGCCGTGTTTGGGGTCGCGCCCGTAGGCGCGAGGCCCCGCTCCAGCTGGCGCGATCGGCAATTCAGGCGCACTCTTGTGCCAGGTTCCTTGCGTCGGGGGGGGCATTAATTATCCAAGGTCTTTTTTCGTGTCCAAAGGCCCGGTGGCTGGATGCTCCTTTGCGACCTGCCTATCCGTGCGTTTGCGATGGAAGCCTTTGATCAGGCCCTCACACAAATCCCCGGGGGCCCTGGCAAGAGCGCTGACTTCGACGCCTGTGTGGACGACCTGAGCCTTAGCTGCACTGAATCAGCCGAGGTGGTCGTCGCTACTCTCACTGCTGGAGCCAAGGCATCCCACCGCGCCATCACGAGCACGCTCGAGTGCAAGCTGGCGATGGACAAAGTTAAAACGGTTTGTAATGTTCTTGACATCTCGAGGCGCTTAACGCGAGAGTTAGGCCCCCTTGTCGGTTCAGCTTGTGCTCGGGTGGCCAATCTTGGCTCGGACTTCACCTCGGGCAGGCCGCTGGGAGGCAAGGGCCGATCGGCCAAGTCGAAGGTTCGAGCTGCGGCGGCGCTGAGGAAGACCAAGCGCCTGAGGGGCCTCACCGAGGCCACGGGGCGCAAGTGTTTGCGTGTTTTCGCGGCTGGGCCTCTTGCTGGGGCCATTTATGGTTCGGATGTGCACGGGGTCTCGGACCGTGAGCTGCTCGACCTGAGGCGCATGGCCATGTCCACGGCGAAGCCTACAGCTCAGGGGAGATCGCTCAGCGTCGTGTGCCTCCTCTCGGATGATCACATGCGGCACGGGAGTTGTGCCCCCGTCATCCGATGGGCCAAAGAGGTTTGGATCCTGCACACTCAGGCTTTCCCCATGGACTATTAGTTGTGCCGGGCTTAGAAGGTTGGTAAGCGGTTTTTCTTCTGATAAACATTACTGGGCCTCTGTCTTGGGGCCGATCTCCGCGCCCAGGATGTCGCGTTATAGGCTTGGCTGGACCATGCCTGCTTGTTGCACGATGATCGATGATTTCGGCCGTGAGATTTCCCTCACCCTTTCGTCCACCAAGCTGGTCAACCTGTTTTGCAAGGAAGCGATTACGAGGGGGCTGGAAGGGGACTCGGGGGACAAGTGTGGTTGTGATTTTCGGCTGTGCTGGAATGCGGTCAAACAGATCCTGTCCTCCAAGAAGGTTTCAGGGAAAACGAAAGGTTGGGTTCGAGCTCAAACCACCAAGGCGTGCTGGACTGCGACCGACGTCGTGGCAGCAGGCTACGAGTTTAACGACCAGTGCGGGTTGTGCGGCACGGCCCGCGACACCTTGTTCCATAAGCTGTATGAGTGCCCTTGTGTGCAGGATGTTAGAGATGCGGTGTTGGACAAAAGTATTCAAAAGGAAGCGCTCGAGTTAGGTGCGTACCAGATGGACATGTGCTCGTACCCTTATGGAGCCTTCAGACACCCTGGAGGCTATGCCCCACCGCCGCTGACCGATGGAGGTACGAGTTTGGAATGGTTTGCGGACGCCCTTCCCGACCCTACCAATCCTGCTGCTGCCCCCCCCATCCCTCCCTCCACAGGGCTCTGGGGGCACCTTTTTCATGGACGGCTCGTGTCGTAGGCACCTTGTGCGCGAATTATCTCGGGCTGGTTGGGCCGCGGTTATGGTCGCACGTTCGGTCGAGCGCCTCGGGTTTTTAAAAAGTCCTCTTTGGGCTCCGTGGCCTCAGACCCCCCAAGGAGCTGAATGTGGGGCCCTTGCTTGGACCTCTGTTCAAACCGAAGGCCCTGCCCAGTGTTATTCAGATTGTGCGAACGTAGTTCATTTGATGAAACTTGGATCTGCTGGCGGTATCAGCGCGAAGCGACAATAGTCAGGTCAGATCATCCAAGCGAGACATTTTTGGGGGCCCAACCTTGAGTCGATCTCCAAGGTTGACGCCCACAGAGACCTCTACGAAGAAGGGCTCTCGGCGCGTGAAAGATTCCTGCGCCAAGGGAACTTCTATGCTGATGCTTCTGCCAAAGAAGGAGCTGGAAAGCACCCTGCTATGTCTCCTGCTGAGCACGAAGTTTTGAATCATCAGATCAAAGTCTCGCGAGCGGTCTTGCTTGCGGGTGCAGAGCTTTTGCCACTTTGGCCGAAACTAGAGTTCAGAGGCATGAAGCGTTTCCCGCCGCTGTCAGTCCCTGCGGCTCCTGTTTTAGCTCGCCCACGACTGGTCCCAACAAGGCTCGTGCTCGCGTTGTCGTGTGTGCCTCCGAGGGTCGAGGGCGTTGTCCAAGCCTTTGGGAGGACAGTACCCTGGGCAGTCTCGTTTGGACCAGGGACAATTGGAGAGACTGGGCCACCGTGTCATTGCCTTCCCTTGCAGTGACGGTGGCCACCTGTTCTCGTGCATGTCGTGCAAGTTCTAGAGCAGTGGTGGTCAAGTCCTAGGCCTAGGCCGCAAATGCGGTCCTCCGACGGTGACGGGTGTGAAGAACATGCGCCGTCTCCGCAAAGGCCAGCACCCCGATAAGGAGGGTGTGTCTGTTGACATTGATGAATTTATCCCGCTGTTATAGTGTACAGGTAATTTGAACCTGCCCATCCAGTGCGCCTCTGGCTGATGCAGACAGGTCACGTTCATTTCAGGGGCATGTGCGTTGCTGCCAAAAAAAGAGCGTGGAGACCGTGGAGACTGGGGGGGGCCAGGGAGTCTCGGCTGGATGGGCCCCGAAAGAATCCGACAAAAGCAAGGGATAAAGGCAAATCCGCTCAAAATCGGTCCCTGGACCACTCCTGGGACCCAGCTGGTGCAATTGTTCACCCCAAATCCGTGTCTGACGGTCCCGGGTGTGGAAAACGGCTTGCGAAGCCGGATGCTAGCCAGCGTAGACCCCGTACAGTGTTTTTTTAGCCAGCGCATGGTGTGCAATTCTTGTGGTGGAATGAACCTTGTGCAAACTGCGTTGTGCAACGTATGTTGTGCAAGATGTGTGCTGCAAGGTGCGTGGCGAAATGTATATAATGTCATCTATGTGGTATAGTATGTGTGGTGTGCCGGTATGCGGTGCAGTCGACATGGTGCAGTCTAAGCGGTGGAATATGTGCTCTGCGATCGATGCAGAACAGAATGCGTGGTGCAATCTACGTGGTGCAATTCCCTTGCCGAATTAATGGTACACAGAATATGCGATTTCATATTTAGGATGGACATCTGGTCATAATCATATGTGATTTACATACCCGAAAGGGGAACCGATAACGCTGGGGGGGGGTAGATCCTATTCTCTAGAAAAGAGAATGTATGTGGCACGACCTGTGCGGTGAAATCTGTGCGGTGCGATCCATGTGGTGTGATGTATGCGGGCTGGGCAGCCGCGCGGCGGGAGCGCGCGCCCCGCAAGGCTGGGGCGCGCGGGGGCGAAGGCCCAGCCGCGCCTGCCCTGCTTACTGTTGCTGGTGCCCCCATCCTTTTTTAGACGAGCGTGCTCCACCACTCGCAAAGTAGCTACTCGCAAATGGCCTGGATCTGCCGCGGGGGATCTACGACAAATGACATAGAAGCAGGCATGTGTTTTTCGGGCGTTTGCGAGCAGGCATTTTGCGAGCAGTGGAACGCGCTCGGTGGTCTTTCTCTCCTCCCCGTCCTCTTTAGCCACGGGGGCGAAAAATAAAGAGCGAGGCGACTGGGGAGGTCCTGGTCAGCCAGCAGCCGCCGGCGCACCGCGCTGCGGCTGGCGCTCCGCGGCCCCTGGGCTCCGGCAGCACCCTGCGCGGCGCCGCCGTGCAGCTCCTAAGGGCGGTGGCAAGGCCCGCATGCGTCTCCAGCGCCCCGAAGCGCTTCGCCGACCGGCCGGAGCCCGAGGAGCCCCTCCGAAAATCGCCCCGCTGGCACACAAGTTACCGCTGGCGTGTGCCTCGTTTGAGAGGTTCCAACTCACGTACGCCTGGAGGCCCTCGCTTCTTGTCAGAGCTGGTCAGGCGGTTGAGCCAAGCCAGGAACCCGAGGGGCACCCTGCCGCCATCCCCACCGGTCCAGGAGGGAACGCAGCATGAGGCGCAACTGGTTTCTGACAGACTGAGACACATCCTCCAAGATGTGATAGGGGCCGCAAGTTGCCAGACATGCACATGGCCCGAAAGATGAACATGTTTCTGCCTCTTTACAGACCAACGAAACTATTGATTTCTTCACCGCACTGTACCGCGGCTGGTATGTGCGCGTGTCGGGCCCATTACTTTGCTGGTCGGTTTGGCCTCCAACAAAGCAATTGCAGTCAAGCCGCACAAAGCGCACTGTTAACGGCCGCTGCCCTGCGAGTTGCCGACCGAGCGGTGTCGTTGCGAAGCCGACGCAAACTGAATTGAAGGAACAGCAAGACATGGAAGACTGCAAGTCACACGCATGCACACAAACACACACACACACACACTCACACCAAATCGAGGCTCACGATCATCCACGCTTTGCTCCGTCCCCACGTTGCGCTTCCCCTCCCCCGTCGCCACCCCCTCCCCCGCCCCCTCCACCGCCTCCCACCCTCCCCATCCTACCCCGTCCCCAATCAAACCTTGAGGTCTCGGGAACGAGTACAGAAAGACTGCTAAGCCGCTTGGGAGGCAATAAAATACGTGCAAGCCAGATTCGTGCCAAGACAAGCCCAGATTCAGCGGAGTTCGCATGGAGTTTGCAGGATTGCGCTGGATTAAGCAATGTTGGGATGGACTTGTCCAGAAAGGATATGTCAGCGCAGATGCTGAATTCTGCATCCCTGGGATTGCGCCCTCACGAACCCACGAGTGAGCAAGGAGGGAGGAGGAGAACGGGAGTACCAGGCGGGGGGGGGGAGGAGCAGAGGGGGGGGACCAGAAGGTCGCCCCTCCCCCCAAAACAAGTCGCCGCAGCGCACCCGGAAGCTCGCCCGCGGCCATGGAGGCGGGCGAGGCCGCCCTCATCCCCCGAGCCACGACCTCCCCATGCGGCCTTGTCGGACTCCGTCGTCCCGGAGCTGTCGGGCGTCGTGGAGCTCGCGTCCTGCACAATGTGGCAAGGGCGTGCGTGGGGGGGGTAGGAGGCAACTCCTGGGATGTCTTCCTGGGCTACTCAGCCAAATCAGGCCAATTCCAAGCCAACAGTAAGCCGTGCGTCAGAATGTGGCGGATGACCACGACGGGTGTACCAGCGCCGATGCTGAAAAGATCCCCCCAAGAGTTGCAACCTAGTTTGGGGGGCATCGCAGGATTCCTTCCCGCGGCGAGGTCCCTCCTCCTCCTCCTCCTCCTCTCCGTTCCCCTCGTCGTCCTCCTCGTCCTCCTCCTCACCGCTGGAGCCCCTCCGTAGCCAACTTGACTCAGGCAGTCTCAACCTTGACACATCCAGTCAGCGTGTTCGGCTCCGACCCCGCGCGCGCCTCTGGATGCAAGGGCCGGCCTGAGGAAAGGTGGAGCCACGGTCGCGGCACGGCGTCCTCCACAAAAGCGCGCAGACAGCGACCAGAACGATCAGCAATGGCAGGAACCCGTGGGCAACCGGGCACGAAGCGCCAGGAAAGCGAAACGGAAGGCGGCACAGCAGCTCGCGGCCTCGCAGCTCTGCGCCCGGAGGCAGACCGTCAAGAACCCAGCGAGCCCTCTGGGCGTGAATGACTTAGAGCGCTTCTTCTTCCAACCCCGCCTTCCCTTTCGGGAAAAGGTTTATCCCTGTTCCATATTAATAGACACCCCCTCCCCAGGCAGCCAACCTGGACCAATGAGGTGTGCCCGCCCACCGTCCCTGTCAAACACAATATAAAATTATCCCAGTGCGACCCTACAGGGGAGTTGGAGCCTCTAGGAAAGCAACATTAGTAGGAGCGGTAAACGCCGTACTCCTCCTGCTCCTCATCGTCGTAGTTGTAGCAGTAGCGGCCGTAGTAGTAGTAGTAGTAGTAGTAGTCGTCGTCGTCGTCGTCGTCGTCGTCGTCGTCGTCGTCGTCGTCGTCGTAGTCGTAGTAGTAGTAGTAGTAGTAGTAGTAGTAGTAGTAGTAGTAGTAGTAGTAGTAGTAGTAGTAGCAGTAGTAGTAGTAGTAGCAGCAGCAGCAGCAGCAGCAGTAGTAGTAGTAGTAGTAGCAGAAGTAGTAGTAGGAGTAGTAGTAGTAGTGGTGGTAGTAGTAGTAGTAGTAGTCGTAGTAGTAGTAGTAGTAGTAGTAGTAGAAGTAGTAGTAGTAGTAGTAGTAGTCGTAGTAGTAGTAGTCGTCGTAGTAGTAGTTGTAGTAGTAGTAGTAGTAGCGCCAGAACCGCCGACGCCACGCCGTAAGTGAAGCAGCAGCAGAAGCAGGCAGCAAGTCGCCGAGACAGCAGCAAAAGCAAGCAGGCACGGAGATGAGGGCGGGGCACTGGGGAGTTCTTCACATCTACATTTATATATACACACCTACATCTACATCGACACCTACATATACATCTATACCTACATCTACATCTACACCTACAGTTACATCTACATCTACACCTGCATCTACATCTACATCTACATCTACATCTACATCAACAGCGAGACTCAAATCTACATCTACATCTACACCTACAGATACACCTACATCTACATCTACAGCTACATCTACATCTACACCTACACCCACATCTACACCTACACCTACACCTACACCTACATCTACATCTACATCTACATCTACATCTACATCTACATCTACATCTACATCTACATCTACACTTTCGCATTGGTTTGGCTTTTGCTTTGCATTGCCTTTGCGTTTGCTCTTGCCTTTGTTGTTGCCTTTGCCTTTGCTTTTGCGTTTGCTTTTGCGTTTGCTTTTGCTGTTGTGTTTGCTTTGCTTCTGTGTTTGCTTTTGCTTGGTTCTGATTTTGGTTTGCCTGCGCACGGACACACACACACACACGCATGCTGTGCCGCGCTATGCTATGCTATGCTCTGCTATGCTCTGCCATGCCCTGCTCTGCTATGCTATGCTATGCTATGCTGCGCAATGCTATGCTGGGCTAGGCTAGGCTATGCTATGCTATGCTGCACTATGCTATGCTGCGCTATGCTATGCTGCGCTATGCTATGCTATGCTATGTTATGTTATGCTATGCTATGCTATGCTATGCTATGCTATGCTTTTGCTTCAACTTCCTTTTTGCCTTCATTTTTGCCTTTGCTTTTGAATTTGCTTGGCATCCAGGGAGCGCAACTGGGGGAACCGCGCGTTTGCTTTTACCTTTGCTGTTGTTTTCGTTTGGCTCCCAAGGGACCGGGGGAACCGCCCAGGGCGGTTAGCACTGCCCGGCCCCTTTAAGCTACAGAGTAAGAACCCTTCTAGGCAGAGCCTAGGTAGGGAATAAGCTAAGCTAAGATGGGATAAGCAACGCTAAGCTAAGGGGACGTAACTGGGGGAACCGCGGGGCGGATACCGGGGGAACCGCCCGGGGCGGTTTGCACTGCCCGGCCTTTTTAAACCCGGTGAGCAAGAACCCTTCTAGGCAGAGCCTAACTAGGGAATTAACGCTGGTGCAGAAAAGTAGGACATGATCGGGGGGGCGCGGGCATGTTGAATTGTTTGTTGACAGGGACCGCGAGGGTGCCCGCAGATCGCCTGCTGCGCGCAGGGCCAGCATCCCTCTGAAAAAACAATACAAAATGCAAGAGGCCTCAGAAAGACTCAGAATCCAAGAGGCCTCTGGCCTTTCTGCTCGCCTTCCCGTTCCTGCTCCTCCTCCTCCTCCTCATCATCACCACCACCACCACCACCATCATCAACATCATCATCATCATCATCATCAGCAGCAGCATGATCAGCTGCATCATCATCATCATCCTCATCATCATCATCATCGTCATCAGCATCATCATCATCATCATCATCAGCATCGGCATCATCATCAGCATCATCATCATCAACATCATACGACTGTTCCTCCTTCCTCCTCCCGCCGCCCTCCTCGCCCTCTCCCTACTCCGCCTCCTCCTCTCCTCCTGCTCCTCCTCCTCCTCAGATGTCTCCTCCATCGCCCCCTATGTTCGCACGACGTCTTACCCAGCCCTGTATTCCACTGCATGCTCGACATTCCTGATCCAGGCAAGTCGTCTTGGCATCGTTTCTGGATGTGCTGGTGGGGTTACTTTTTTTGGCCGCGGCCGCAAGCGAAAGCGCAGGCGGCGAGCAGGGTGTCCGGGCCAACGGGCAAGCCGAATTAGCTGCAAGGCGCAGCGCGAGCTGGCCGGGCCAGCCCTCAGAGGCAGCAACTGCGGCAGCGGCGGCGGGGGGCTGACTGGCTGAACTGCAACGCCCAGGGAAGCTCGAGCATCATGCAGACCTGTGGCAAAGTGCCAGGGAATTCTCAACTGCGCGCCGCGGCGCCAGTTCACCACGGTGTAGGTGCAAGGTCGAGACAGACAGAGAGTGTCCTACACGCACAATCCGCACTCACACTGTAGCGAGAATAGGCTAGGTACACACTGGTCATGTCGCAGGAGGGCGCCAAGGGCCAGGGCCGTGTCGACGGCGTAGACCTGCCTGGTCGGCTGGGATGGGTCGAGGATGGAAGCACAGCGCCCGCCGGAAGGCTGCACCACTCCGAGACGCCACACGCGCATCCTGTGGCGGACGCCAGCCCCGAGCAAGTAGCAACAAACCAGCCCGGGAGGCGATGGCACCTGTAGGCCCGGCCCACGGTCACGACGCAAGCGTCGTAGAGAACTGCGCAATGCGCGGAAAGCAAGCCTGACTGGCGGGGATGGACGTCGCCAGCGCGGCCGGAAGAGCGGGCGCCAGGGGCCGACAGCGCCGGGGGGCGATCGCGCACATTGCGACGCAGGGCCACGGGGTCCTTGACAGGCCGCCCCGCCCGCGCGGGACCCTCCTGCGAGGGGGGCGGCGGGGGCAGACATCACCAGCCGGCCACGTGGATGGGCCCGCGAAGGCCTCCCGCGCCAGGAGAGAAGAGTGGGAGAGGGGGGGGCCAGGGAGCGGCTGACCGCCGCACGGATTCGCACGGAGCACACGTCCAGCGGAGCGCGCGGGGGCACTGGGCGGGGAGACGGTGCCCAGAGCCCGTCACCCACTGCGCCAGGGTTATGCCGCCACCGAGCGCCCCCACTTCCAGGACACTGCACGAGCTGCACGAGACGGTGCCCATCGCCCTGCGGGTCCCCGCGCCGGTGGCCCGCCGGCATCGCTGCACCTGCAACTATGCCCACGTTACCAGGGGCGCGACCGACGGCTGCCAGAGTTTTCACATAAGCCAGGGAGCAGCCGACGGCTGCTACAAGAGAGTGCTGGGACGCCCCACGGAAGCTGCCGCGCTCCGGCCTTGTTCATGGGCCCGTCTGCAGCGCCGGGGAGCTGCCCCGCTCCTGCCACGCGGCCGTCCGACTGCCAGGGTCTGCCGGGCTCCCGCCAGGCACCGATGGCGCGGTCAGCCTTTGGACCAGCGCTGGACCCAGGGGCGCGGCTGACGGCCGCCTGCATTCTTCAAACTAGCTGCTGCCAAGGCGGCCATAGGCCTCCACAGTCACAAGTTGGGGACACAAGGGAGCGAGATATGTCGGGCGCCGGAGGGCGGACCCCGCCCGGGCGCCCGAAAGCAGTAGCGCGTTGGCTGCGGCGCTCACGCGTCGCCCACGCGCATCTAACCAGCCGAGGCCGTCTAGCCATGCTGCGCCAGGGGGGGCGGGGCGGCCGCCTGCCCCAGCGATAGGCAGCCCCGAGGCACTACGGCCGACGGGCCGGGCGCATCGAGGCGAAACGGGCCCTGCGGTGGGCCAGCGCGCACTGACGGGGGGGCAGTTGCGCCGCCAGCCAACGCGCGCGGAGCGGGGGGGGGGGCTGGGCGGGCGCGAGGCGAACCCGCGGCCAGCCCCAGCGGCGGCGGCGGGGGCCTCAGGGCCCGCCGTCTTGCAGGCCACCTTTTCCGCAAGAGTCTGCTGCGAGGCAGCGGCTGACATTCTCAGAGTCGCTGCCGCGTTGCTCGCCTGCCCCCGCCTCTCCATTCGGCGTCGCTCCATGCGGGGTCGATTTTGCCCCATGTTGGCCT